TCAGCTAAGTTCCGGAGAGAAACCCAAAATAGTAAATGCAGAACTATATTGAGATGGTATGGCGGTAAACCATCAGAGAAGTCTAAATATGGGACCTTTAACTATCATTATTGTTCTGTTGTGTGTCGTTCTTTTGTTCTCTAGAGCATCACATTATTTGCAAAAATACTGTGCATAGTTTACATAGACATAGTTCATTCTTTGACAGTTGTCTAGTCGTAAGTAAAACAGATGATTTATAACACTGTCATCAGTGAGATGAATCAAACAAATCTATGGACAAGGAACTTTAAACTAACTCTGCCAATTTACAGTTGCCTGTTTACATATTATATGCCTGTGATAATGACATACAACCGAAAGTAGATTCGTTGTTTTTAGTTTTACAGAATTATGAATTGTTTTGCAGTGAAACGAAATATTTTAGTGCGAGTTTATCGGACTCGTTGCTGTTTATTTTTGACCCTGCCCGCGCACCGTCGCTAAACCAAAACAGAAAATGGCGTCAGCTGAGCCCCAGCCGCGGTTCGGCCAGTCTGTCAAAGGTTTATTATCCGACAAGGTGGGCTCCTGTAGCGGGGATGTGATCGCACTGACCCGCCAGGTTCTGAAAGGATCCCGCAGTCAGGAGGTAAAGCGACACGAGCGGTTTTTATCATGACAGCTTCCTCACGACGATAGATACACGGAGAGAACAAACACCACCAGAGCAGCTGTATTCAAAATAAAAGCATCGATAACACACTTTGCACGGACTCCCGTGGCGATTTAATTTTGAAAGTGGAGCTTCATGGTTTATTTTCGTTGACTTGATTAAGCGAATACAGGCTAACAGGATTCTGTTACTGGACTGTTAATGTAGCTAAATGATTAAACAGTTAGTTACGTTATTAAAGTGAAGATGAACGTTAGCGTTGGTGTAATGCAAACCGAAAACCAGTGCTGAAGATGGAGTGGCATCTGCCTAACACAAGTGCTTCTTAGCTCTCGGTTTCAACTGTTATTCTTTTATTTGTTTGAGGCTTTTCAAGCAAAAATCGCGAGATTTCCTGGGCCAGCCTCTCACTGAGAGGATCTTCATGTGAAGAGCTTTGAGTTTGGAACTAGTTGATAAAACCAAACAAGAAAATCATTCAGTCAGATTGATAATGTAAAAAATCATTAATTGCACCCACATTGTTACTAATGTCTCTTTCAGCTTCTTGGTCAAGCAGCAAGAAACATGGTCATCCAGGAGGACGCCATCCTGCACTCTGAGGATGTGAGTATGGAAATGTGCATCAGTGAAGCTGTACAGTAGAATACTGGAGTCACTATTCAGTACAGAGGAGGAAGACAACAGTACCACACGCTACAGAAAGTCCAAAGTTAAATCACCAGGTCTCTAAGGCAAATGGTCTTTTCTAGTCTTATTGACCACTCGTGCACTATTCACCCAATTACCCACACCACGCTCTTTCCTACACATATAGCACTTTCGTACCATACACACAGTCACACACTGCTGATACACTGGGGGCAGTTTGTGTCAGTATCTTGCTCAAGGACACTTCCAAAAGCAGACTGGCGGAGCCGGGAATCGAACCGCTGACCTTCCTATTTGTGAACCAAACCTGAACAGTTCCACAAAGGTGAAATTATACTACTCAGTCTCTGCTCACTGAGCGCTTGTGACAGTTCAGTGAAGTAGAGGTAAATTGATCCGTCTCTTGTTTGTCTAATCCACTAGAAATTCAACATCATTATCTTCTGTCTTCCAGAGTCTGAGAAAAATGTCCATAATCACCACGCATTTACAGTACCAGTGAGTATCAGTCAGCTGATTATCACTACACATATGTGAAACTCATTGGCTTTTGTTCAAACTGAATATTTACTCGATTGTCTGTCTGTCTGTCTGTCTGTCTGTCTGTCTGTCTGTCACTAAGGCAAGGAGGCCATTCGAAGAAGTAAGTCTAACAACTTCCCTGGGCTTTTAGTGGAAAAGAGCTGACATTTTTAACTGTCTCCTCTTGTGAGCCATAACACACACACTAATCGACGTGCACTGCCTCTCCTGTGTAATACTGCTTGTGCTTGCCTTGCCCTCCAGTGATGAAGAGCATTCTACCGCAAAACCTGCAAAGCCCAAAACACCTGACCGCCCGCAAGCGCGCATGGCTGAAGTGAGGTGACCCGCCGCCTAAACATCGGAGGATCCTGCGTGGTTGAGTTTCCAAATTGGCCGCGCACTGCACAATTTGGAGTCAAAGAATCACTGGAATTGCTTATCACAGAAACGAAGTCCTCCATGCGGCTTTAATTTCCATAAAATTTTTCTTGAAAATGAGAACTTTATCACATTTGTAGCTGTGGCTGAGCTTGTGTATTCAGCTGGAGTTATACTTCTCCTTGTGTAACTAATAACAAAGAACTTTATCAGAGCCGTCCTTTGTTGTGACTTGGATTATTGCTCTGCAAAAAGCAATGTTCAAGCCTATGGTATGCAGTTTTGATAAAACTGCTTTCAATAACTGAGCCTATATTTGTATATCACATGCTTTCATACGATCCGCCGACCCGGGTGCCTCCCTCGTCGAATTAATGAACTTTATTTAATATTCTCTGTTGTTCATCTTTGCTTCTTCGTAATGCCTCTACAAAAGCGTCTTCCACTGCTAAGTTGTGTATGCGGTGAAATGGCATAACCTCGAACAAGGGGATGGTTTTGAATTTTCCTAATAATACAATTTGGTTTGCAACACCTGTAAGAATGAGTCAGAGACCTTAATTAGTCAGCCCCTTTATCAACTTCCACGAATGGGGGTTTGTTCTTTTCACTTTGATCCTTAGGCTTTGTCCTCAGTCATAAAACTTTCCACCCGCATTGGCTGCGGTTGTTGTGGGCTGTCATTACCAAATATAAATTTTAGAATGGGGTGATATTGTGTTGCGCTGAGAGTAAGCTTGAGTATGATGGGAATCATATATTTCATATCAACTATTGCTACCATCCAAAAGCCTTTTTAAATGCAGGCCGGGACCAAGTAGTTGATATGAACATAGAGTCCAGAATCAATAACGTGACTCCATTCGGATGAGACCTGTTCACATCTAGGTAATACCCTTGAGACCACATCAAACTTTTCTTTCACAGGGTGTTATTTTGGAATATCTGTGTGTCCATTGCAAGATGTGGGTAGGAATGAGATGAATTTGTGAATTGAGGAGTGATCCGATGCAGGAAGTGTCCAGATGGCAGTGTGTTGGCCGTTACAGTTAAAAGATGTCCTTAAACTCTGGATTTAAGGTTTCCTTAGAAATACAAACAGTTGCACAAAACACCTTCTTCAAGACGGGCAAAGTCCTCCCATATGCTCCTTCAACGTTTACTTAAAAATCGCTACGAACTGAGGTGTTAGTATTCTGTTTTGTGTACAGTGTTTATTCTCCGTATCTTGATTTCAAGGAGGCAAACGGATGACATCCAAGAACCTATGAGCACATTAAATAACTTTAAAATAAAGTCAGATTCGAAGCTTCAGTTTCCAATTTTATAAAATTACTTCTTTTACATTATACCAATATTCCGAGCTAAGCAATAACACTACAAACTCATATATTACAAACTAGTTTGGGTTATCTTCACCTAACCACAATAAACCTAAAATAGGACTCTTAATAAAAAATAGGTAAAACAAACTCCTCTGATTGGGATCATAGAGACTTCCTGTGATCATAAATACAATAGAGCCCAAGTAGAGCGAATCCCCCATATAGAGAGTCAAGGCAACTTATTACATGGATCCACACTAGCTCATTGATGTCACCACAGCTGATAAGGGTATGATTGGTCCTCTTGATAGAAAACATTGTAACGATGCTCGTTGTATCTTGTGCGACCAAACGCCTCACGCGTCTTGCTTTGTTCTAGATTTAGTATATGCTAGTTAATCGCAATGTGAATCAGAGCGGGTATACGGTATAGAAAGCGCTACGACTCGCTTGGTAGAGCTAGCTGGTCAGCTTCTCAAAGGCATGGTGGGGGAGCTCGTAGCTGAAGCTGACCAAAGGACAGCACGGTGCGTCTTGTTTGCGTTACCCTATGAAACAACATAAGACCGTACCAGAGCCATAACGTAAATTGCCAGCAGAGACAAGAGTCCCCTCCGACACAGAGTGCTTTTTGGCGTTGGGGGGTTTACCCAATGGTCATTCTAGCGCAGCAAAATACTCACTTGGGCATGCAGGAGGTGCTTGGCACCCTCTTAAGTCACAGTTAGTACCTCGACCTGGAGTGGGAGTCCTCTGCACAGATATCACGCCTGGTCTGCAGGTTTTTGATGCTTCTCAACTGCCGGCACAGCATCACGGCTAGAGTCTGAAGACTAGCAACTGCGCTTCTAGCAATTGTTTGGGGTGGCCTAGTCAGCGCTGGTTCTCATGTAGGCTCGCGTCTAGAGCGAGCTCCAGTATAGGGTTCACCAGGCTCTTCGTGCTGTGCTGCTGTTTAGACGGTTGTGCATTAGTTGCGATGAGAGTATGTGTATTTATGTTAGGAACCTTTGAAGCTTAAATCAAGGTTGGCGGTCTGTCTTATCTAGGCTCATCTGCCCTCCATTCTAATAAGTGTACATTGATCGACACGAACATAGGACGTCAGACGACAGAACAGACAGACAGACAGCCGGAGCGCCATGCGTGCCATTTGGTGAAACTCACGAAACACAGAATAACTTCAGGGAGAGAACCTAATCCTGATTTGTGAAATATAAGTTTCTACGCAGTTTTAGATTATATCACACCATAAAATTGTCCTATAATATCTCATCGTATAGCTTTGCATTTAACACGACAGATTGTGGTTGGCTCTTAGTTAAGTGTGAGAAAGTTGGTGTGGTAACACAAGTGTACTCAAGATCGGATCTAACGTTACACGTGATCTAAACTTAGTAATTGAGTCTACCTTTGGTCTCTCACTGTGAGATGTTGTTTCATTGACTGAGTTTAAGTGATACTATGAAGTCCGTCGATTCACTGCGTGAAAACCAAAGTGTTTGAAAACATAGAGGGCAACCCAATTTTTCTACAGAGCTTATCGGTCTCCCATATTTAGAGGTAAGCTCTAGAGAGTGAACCGGATGTTTTATCCTAGTATGAGATTAAAAGTGTTTGTCATTGCCCCGTCATTTCCACTCCTACTCGTGGATTCATTATTACCTATGATGTGTGATATGGGAGAGCTGGGGGTATCTTTCAGTAATTGCTCCCCAATGGCACAACGCTGGGTCAGCACTGGGGGGGCGCGGACTCAGCCCTTACAATGGACAAGAGTATTTTCTACAAGATTTTTATTTTAAACCGTCCTCCTCCAGTGGATGCATCATCAGCTCGACTTCCATGAAAGGAGCGAAGGGGACAAACTTAATCATCGCAAGCCTGGATGGCCTAACACAGCCTGCTTGACCCTGACAGTGTGCCCTGAGGGCCGAGCTGCTGAGGTCTTGCGTCCATGGTTTTCTTTTTAAGGTGTTTCTTTCAAAGTCCTCGCCACCCTTCGTGTGAAACCACTGTCCGTTCAACACCGGCTACACCTTGCAAGAGGTCTGGCATGCTGATGAGGCGGCGGGGGCCTTGAAGGCTCGCGGCGGAAGTCTGTCACTCAACATGCCCCTCGCCCAGTCTTTTGCGTGACCCCCAGGGGTTTTTTAGTCGGTACCTCGACAACATGCATGCTGACCACACGAATATCAGGATCGGATGGGTCCAAGAGATCATAGATTTTTACAGCCACGTGATTCTCATTACAAGATTTCGCTTCTCTTCAGAGGGACCAAAGGGGGGCAGAGCCTGTTTCGTGAGGGAAACAAAAGCACAGAAAGACAAACCGGTCCCTTATCTCAACCTGCAGTTTAGCAGGCTTCGTTTTGTCTCCGTGCTATGATCGCATCTCAATCGACTGAAAATCCTCTACATAACAATGTGTTCTGTTCTAAGGTCACCACAACTGATTGACAGCTGCAATTAATTATCCCTCAAAAAGACTAGAGGAGGGGAAGTGCTGGCACCCCGAGATACTATATGGGATATGCGCCCTACACAACCACACAAGCTGAGATGGGCGAAGAAGCATTCTTAGGAACCGGCTCCTCGAGAGTTACAGCTATTGTAGAGTGGAGGCTCGCAACCACTGAAGTTTACATCTCACCATTGCTCCTGGAGTCTATGGTTGCTCTATATGAGTCAGAAGATTAAGAGTTGTTAGTGGAAGAGTAGTTGTGTTATTGGAAGAAACAATGGACTAAAAGAACAGAGTACTGTTATTGTTGCCTCTTTTTTTCTATGAAGGTAAAGAATATGAAGATGGTGCGTTCAACGATCAGAAAGATATGACCCATTGCATGGAAGTCTCTCGCAAGTCGAAGTGAACGCTCCAGGGTGGTAAGTTTCAAGTATTCCTGTCTCCCTGCTACATGTCCACATAGAGATTGATTCATGTGAAGCATCGCTCTCATGAAGAAAACAAACAAAAGCATAACTGTTAACAAACAACACACAAAAAATTATACAACTCAGATGTTACTCATGAATACGATAGTTGATTGTGTGTGGTTTTTGTTGGGTTAGAGAAGAGCAGCTCAGCAGGTGTAGAGGTTAGTAAAAAAAATGACCGCTGTTGTTTCGCATACCGTGCTTGCGCTGTGAAATGGTGAGTGAATATAGTGCTTGTTGTGGTAAAGGCACCTCAATGGTTTGATAGGACCTAGAAAAGCTCTGTATAGCGCAATAACGAGTGCATCATCATAGCTACCATATGATATTTGGCAATGTCCAAGTAACATAAAAACACGCCTCACATACCGCTTCGATTCGTCAGGTGACAGGCAAGGTCAACAGCTGGTCGAAGCCCATGTTCAGTACCTGATGCTCTCCCGACAGCTGACAGATGGAATGACTAATAAGAAATTAA